CTAGTCTATAGTCTAGTCTAGTCTATAGTCTAGTCTATAGTCTAGTCTATAGTCTAGTCTATAGTCTAGTCTATAGTCTAGTCTATAGTCTAGTCTATAGTCTAGTCTATAGTCTAGTCTATAGTCTAGTCTATAGTCTAGTCTATAGTCTAGTCTATAGTCTAGTCTATAGTCTAGTCTATAGTCTAGTCTATAGTCTAGTCTATAGTCTAGTCTATAGTCTAGTCTATAGTCTAGTCTATAGTCTAGTCTATAGTCTAGTCTATAGTCTAGTCTACAGTCTTGTCTATAGTCTAGTCTATAGTGTAGTCTATTATTTAGTATATTGTCTTGTCTATGGTATAGTCTATTGTCTAGTCTACTGTCTAGTCTATAGTCTAGCCTATAGTCAAGTTTAAAGTCTAGTCTATAGTCTTGTCTATATATTATTCTATAGTCTAGTCTATAGTATAGTCTATAGTAGTCTAGTCGAGTCTAGTCTATAGTCTGATATATAGTCCAGTCTGCGGTCTAGTCTATAGTCTAGTGTATAGTATAGTCTACAGATTAGTTTATAATATAGTCTATAAACTAGTCTATAGTTTATGCTATGATCTGGTCTATAGTCTAGTCAATAGTTTAGTCTATAGTCTGGTCAATAGTCTAGTCAATAGTCTAGTCTATAGTCTAGTCTGAAGTCTAGTCTATAGTATAGTCTATAGTATAGTCTACAGACTAGTTTATAGTCTAGTCTATAGACTAGTCTATAGTCTAGTCTAGTTTATTGTGATATATTCTAGTCTATAATCTAGTATATAGTTTAGTCTACTCTATAGTCTAATCTATAATCAGTCTATGGTCCAGATTAGTTTAGTACCTTGAAACTTAAAAAAAGTACTATTTCCGTTATAAGTTAGTACTTTTTCAAAATTTCAGTTTTCCATGCCTGAGACACATCGTTTTTACCTCTGCTGTCTGTTTACCGCCCCCTTTTTACTCCTCCCTTTAAATGAGCTGATGGGGGTAGCTAGTTGTTAAACAGATATTTTCTTTAAATATTTCTGATGTTATAAATATTTTCAATTTCTTTTCTAACAAATATATAAATAAAATATAATATATATTTTAGCGCCGCCACATTTTGATTTCATAAAAATCATTTGTAAAACATTGTTTTACTAAATATTTAAATATAAATTATATATTTTTATGTTTTTTTTTTGTCTAAATTTAAGCAAAATTTAAAATTCTTAAAATTTGCTTCCGCTTTTAATGAGATAAAACATTAATTTTTCTTTTTAAACTTAAAGTACAAAAATGTATTTTGAATTTTTTTTTTTTTCAATTTTCAGTATCTATTGGAAATTTTCAATAACTTTTCTTCTACATAGTTCTATTTATAGACATTTTTGCACTCAATTTTTATTATATACACAAATGTTTAATTTTTCAGCATGATTGTTTTCAAGAAGTTTAATTTTTTTTTTTTTTGAAGTGCATTTAATTATTCATGGGAAATTTTTTGTTATTTTTTTCATTATTAATTTATGACTTTTAAAAGAAAAAATGAATAATTTAAAATTTTCTTAAATTGTTTGGAAAATAGGATTCTGTCATGAAGTATTTTAAGTAAATTTTTTTGGCACTTTTTTGAAATCATTGTCTTCGTGAAAGTTGATTCATCATTTGCTCATCATCTCCTAGAAAAATTGTAATGGTTTTATTAGTTATATTTTGAACTTTAGTCATTCCAGTCTTTTTTTACACCAATTCCAATTGTATTTCATTAATTTCTATTTCCTAAATTTTAAATTGAATATCAAACATTTCTAATTATATTATAATAAAAAACTTCTTAGGCTCGAGTTCGAATCCCACTTGAAGATATTTTTTTCCAATTTGTAATGATATTTTTATTATAGGAATGCTGAAAAATTCTCACAAGTTTTGAAAAAGTGGAATATGAAACTTGAACTTAATTTCAATTCGGAATTTTAAAATAGAATTAGAAATTTCTGAAATTTTATTGAAATACTATATGAGGAATTTTCTGAAATTCAATGAAATATTATTGAAATATAAGTAGAAATTTCTGAAATGAAAAATAAATCTCTTTTTAATATCGCAAAAAAGGAATAAAAAAGATTAAGGTCAAAGGTCATTATGACCCATATATATATAAATACAAAATATCTTATAAACAATTTATTTTGACATTTTAAACCTTCGACCTTTTGAAAAATCTTTCGTATTTAGAGGTCAATCAATAGGTCAATTTCAAGAATTCCATCTATAGTGAAATCTCAGCGATATCCCTGGACCGTAATCACGAGCATTTAAACCGTACCAAATGATGCATTTTTCTGGATATAATGGAGTCTGCATCTTATCAATCAAATTTGGTAGCTTTGTTCAAGCGTCAATCTATTTAGGACAATTTTCTGATCATTAATGTCAAAAAGTTATGTTGCTATGACCTTTAGTAAGTTCTTTTGGGCCTGTCAATCACTTAAAACCTAATTTCTATAATTTGCCTTCGTGTCATTCAGTTTTCAATTCGTTATTTATATAGTGATGTCTAAATTGTTAAAATAAATTTTCTCAAGACCCCCGATATTTTTGGCATTGAAATCTTTGATAAATCTATCAGACATGCTTTAACGAATTTTGATATTTGAATCCAGTATTGGAAATATGATCGAAATTTCGAAGAAAATGTGATTTTCCCATAATTTTCTATCTGGGTCGATTTTCGGAAAATTTTATCAGTACCTTCCTGATTGCAAGGAACTATAGGCTACTTAATGTTTCAAGTAGGCCAGGAGCCACGCCCACATACAAAAGAAGTAAGTAATAAGTCGGATATCTCGGAACAACTTTGAAATCCATATGTATACCTGGGGACAAATTAACCAGCTCAGGTACATTTAAAAAATATATTAGTATGAATATTTGGCAATAGAGGCGTGGCACCTCCTATATGAATTATAGCAAATAGTAGTTATTAGAACTAGAATCGTTAAATTTTGCTGGAACAACTTTAACATCCATATGAGAACATTTAAAGAAAAATGGGCGGACTAGCAATAGGAGGCGTGGCATCTAATATATGAATTAAATACAAAAAAATCGTATATTTGGGAAACTTCTAATAGCTAAAATCTTCGAATTTAGCATGAAGAACATTGTCATGTACATATGTATGCAGCATTTTAATAAAAAAGTGGGCGGACTGATAATAGGGGTCTTGGTACCTCCCATATAGTAAATTAAATACAAAAATTCGTATATTTAGGAATCTATTAGAGTTAGAATTCATTAAATTTTTCATGTGAAACATTGAAATCAATTTGCACGTTTGGAAAAAATAGATGAACTAGCACTAGGGGGAGTGGCACCTCCCATATAAATTAAATACATATATCTGAGATGCTATTAGAGCTAGAATTCTCAAATTTTGCACGAAGAACTTTGACATCCATAGGAACATTTGGGGGAAAATAAGGTGGACTTCCAATATGTTTAAAAAAAAGTAAATAGATGGAAACGTATATCTGGAAAACTATTAGGGCGAAATTGAGCTTGAATGCAACGAACACTGGGTAATAGTTAGTTGATTATAATAGAAATACGGCTCATATAGACTCAGCTATATCTAAAGACTTGGATCCATTCAATGTCTGGATTATTTTAAAAATTTGTTTTCAATACGGAAAGAAAAACATCATAAAATTAACTCAGGTATCTGTCAGCTCGCAAGATAAAAACATAATGAAAAACGTATACTTCTTCAATGATGAAATATCTGGCGTCAAGGGTCTATCTTTTTATATCAATACTTTCCATAATACGAATACTTTAAAAAGTAAACTATCTACAAAAACATGATCTCAATATGTATGGAAAACAAAAAAAACATGGACACACTTGTGTTATTAGATCTCAATACTTTCAATATTTGGTTAAAATCCAAAAAAATAAATCTATTTTTAATTGAGTGTGACGATAACTAAATACTAAAATACTAAAATTATAAATTATGTTCTATGCAGGTGACTTTCTAATTTGTCTCTGCTAAAGATATTCCTCGTTATATTTCAATTTCTAAAGGCGTTTTGGGATATTATTTCGTCAATGCTGATGACAATAGAAAAAGAAAGATATGAAAGTCGGGAGGAGGTATATAGACAACATATTGTTAATAAATATATATAAATATTATGGAATTGTTTGTGTTTTTTTTTCATTTGTTTTCAGTCAGGGTCATTTTCATATTTTTTGACAACTGTCTTTCTTTAAATAATGAAAATATTTTTTTTTAAAAAAATAAAAACATAAATTTATAGTATATTTCCTTAACGAAAAAACAAAACACGACAAAATACTACAAAAGAACGTGTTATTTAAGCGAAAGTATTTCGTCAGCGACATTTTTAAAATATTTTTTTTTTTTTTTAACAGGAAAATGTTTCAAAGAAAATAAAAACAAAATTATAATAAATGACCTAAAATTCTGACATAATTTTTCCATTTTTAATATTTGTGTTTTTTTTATAATTTAAAAAAAAAATGACTTAATTATCACCTGATGGTTTTTCGCAAATTTTAAAAAAAACAAAAACTAAAACAATATTTTTTTCAATAATTTCACAAAATTTCGAAAAATTGTGTTGAAAAAATAAGCAATTTGTTTGTAATTAAATTAACAATTTGTTTTTAATGAAAGTGAAAATGATTTAATTTAATTTAAATTTCAAGGTGAATTTACCTATTGGTGTAAAATGCTAAAAGAGACAAGTGTTTTTTTGTAAATGTTTAAAAATAAAAAGATATAAACAAAAATATTTTTTTTATATTTTATATTTAATAAAAAAAGAATTGCAAAAAAGTAATACCTAAAAGAAAAAGTAATTATTGTGTAAAATATAAAATTTTTAAAAAGAACAACTCAAATTTAGACAAAAATAAAAAAACAGAAAAAAACACGCGGTTTTACATTAAAGTTATAAAATAAAGCCAAAATGTCGGGGCAGCAACCGCCGCCAAATGGACCACGTGGCTGGAATCCACGTGTAGCATCGCCGTCTACATTTATGTATCGTCCACCCTCTCCTTGGACCCCAGTGGCTCCTAGCCCCCCTCCAATTATATCGGGACCACGCAGACCTTCGATGCCTTCGCCAGCGCCCATGAGCCCCACACCGTTTGCTCATGCCATGTCACCAGGACCTAGTAATTTACGTGGCACTAGAGGCACCAACAATATGCCTCATCCACGACCTCAGTGGCCGCAACAGCCACCCTTAGCTGGCAATATGTCACCGGCTCCCTATCAGCCACCAACCTTTCAACCCAGCTTCTATCCCAATCAGCAGCAGGCACCATTAACACAGCTGCCGCCCAAGGTCTGTCCATCGCCTACCGCCTATGTAGGCGCTAATGGTCCAAGGCCCTTTAGGCCCCTAACACATCAAAACTCGTATGGCGGTGATCCTACCAGTTCTTTTCAACTTTCGCCTACACCTTCGCCGATTGTCTGTCAGACCCCAAATTCGGAATTTATGTATGGCAGTAATCGTCAGACTCCGATGTCTCATGCTTACGAAACACAACAACAACAATATCCGAGACAGCAACAACACTACGCACCACCACCACCATCGATGCAACAACAACAGCAACAACGTCCTCAATCACAGAATCAATACGACTTTGTTGGTGTACCGCTAGAGCCTCCACAGCCTAAATCGTATGTGATTTATGATGACGAAGAGGAATATGGTCCATCAACAGCAGAAATTATAGCCAATCAATCTCAAGATTATGTTGATGAAAAACTTGCCGAATATCAAATGACTATTTTGCAATTGCAAGGTAAGTGCAAATTTTAATATTTCTTTTTTTTCAAATTTTTAAACCTAAAAGTCAAATTGCAAAAGTGCAGTTTTAAAGCGAAAAAAGGCAACATTTTAATACCCTTGTCTACCACAAACTTTAAAATTTAGCTAAAGAAATGTTCCTCCCTTGATTTGAGCAACTTTTTTTTATAAATTTCCTTTTAAATTTACTATTTCTATACAAAAGTGCAATTTCAGGGCAAAAAGGCAACATTTTAATATCTTCTTTAACCATACCATAAACTGTTAAGCAATCAAACAAAGGAAATTTATTTCCCTCAATTTGTTAAAACAACCTTTTTTTTGTTTAAAACACAAAAATAAATTTATTACTTATAAACAAAAAAAGATTAATCAGTTTCTGCTGAAATTATTTTGAAATTGTTTAAATTATTCGTATTTATTTTAATGTTTTTCTGATGTTTTAAGCTTTCCAACTCTTGTGAAATAAGCATATTTTTTAATTTTAAATACAGCACAAGAAAAATAAATAAATTTCTAATTATATACTTACTCGTACATTTAGTACAATACAGAAATAGGGAAAAAAGAAAATTTTGAATGTTTACACACAATGTGAGGCCAACTGTAGCCATGATGATGTTGTTGCACTTCATTTGCCCCGTAAAAATACTTATAAATAAACTTTTTATGTGAACGCACTTTTAATGTGTTTCTTAAATGTGGTAAATTTTAAAGTTTTTTGTGGGTTTTTAAACGAATATAGAACAGAAATGGAATATTGTGGAATGAAACTTAAAAATTATATATATTTTTGGAGATAGAAGTATGTAATAGAATGATTTTATGGTGAAAACATTTCTTATTAGAAAATTATTAAAAAAACTAGACGAAACTATAGTCTAGTCTAGTCTATAGTCTAGTCTATAGTCTAGTCTATAGTCTAGTCTATAGTCTAGTCTATAGTCTAGTCTATAGTCTAGTCTATAGTCTAGTCTATAGTCTAGTCTATAGTCTAGTCTATAGTCTAGTCTATAGTCTAGTCTATAGTCTAGTCTATAGTCTAGTCTATAGTCTAGTCTATAGTCTAGTCTATAGTCTAGTCTATAGTCTAGTCTATAGTCTAGTCTATAGTCTAGTCTATAGTCTAGTCTATAGTCTAGTCTATAGTCTAGTCTATAGTCTAGTCTATAGTCTAGTCTATCTATAGTCTAGTCTATAGTCTAGTCTATAGTCTAGTCTATAGTCTAGTCCTATAGTCTAGTCTATAGTCTAGTCTATAGTCTAGTCTATAGTCCTAGTCTATAGTCTAGTCTATAGTCAGTATAGTCTGTCTATAGTCTAGTCTATAGTCTAATCAATAGTCTAGTCTATAGTCTAGTCTATAGTCTAGTCTATAGTGCAGTCTATAGTCTAGTCTATAGTGCAGTCTATAGTCTAGTCTATAGTGCAGTCTATAGTCTAGTCTAGTCTATAGTGCAGTCTATAGTCGAGTCTAAGTGCAGTCTATAGTCTAGTCTATAGTGCAGTCTATAGTCATAGTCTAGTCTATAGTGCAGTCTATAGTCCTAGTCTATAGTCTAGTCTAGTCCTATAGTCTAGTCCTATAGTCCTAGTCTACAGTCTAGGCTATAGTCTAGTCTATAGTCTAGTCTACAGTCTAGTCTATAGTCTAGTCTATAGTCTAGTCTATAGTCTAGTCTATAGTCTAGTCTATAGTCAAGTCTATAGTCAAGTCTATAGTCTAGTCTATAGTCTAAGTCTATAGTCTAGTCTATAGTCTAGTCTATAGTCAAGTCTATAGTCTAGTCTATAGTCTAGTCTATAGTCTAGTCTATAGTCTAGTCTATAGTCTAGTCTATAGTCTAGTCTATAGTCTAGTCTAGAGTCTAGTCTATAGTCTAGTCTATAGTCTAGTCTATAGTCTAGTCTATAGTCTAGTCTATAGTCTAGTCTATAGTCTAGTCTATAGTCTAGTCTATAGTCTAGTCTATAGTCTAGTCTATAGTCTAGTCTAGTCTAGTCTATAGTCTAGTCTATAGTCTAGTCTAGTCTATAGTCTAGTCTATAGTCTAGTCTATAGTCTAGTCTAGTCTATAGTCTAGTCTATAGTCTAGTCTATAGTCTAGTCTATAGTCTAGTCTATAGTTTAGTCTATAGTCTAGTCTATAGTCTAGTCTATAGTCTAGTCTATAGTCTAGTCTATAGTCTAGTATAGTCTAGTAGTCTAGTCTAGTCTATAGTCTAGTCTATAGTCTAGTCTATAGTCTAGTCTATAGTCTAGTCTATAGACTAGTCTATAGTCTAGTCTATAGACTAGTCTATAGTCTATTCTATAGACTAGTCTAGTCTATAAACTGGTCAATAATCTAGTGGAAAATTAATTTAGTACCTACATACTTTGAAACCTATGAAAGTACTACAATTTGTTTTATGTTATTAGTACTATTTCAAAATTTCAATTTTCCATGCCTGGCATAGACATAAATTACTTACCTTTACTTTTGTTGTTGTTATAGTTGTCTCCTTATTTCACAGCTGAAACACAATAATTTAATTTTTCTAACATTTTGCTTCTTTCTTTAAATAAGTTTAATAATGTAATAACAACAACACTATGATTTGCTAATATATACCACCTCTTACTCTCCCACCCAACAACATTCTCTTTGGTACTTGGCTGCTTACGAATGGCTCTGGACACAAAAAAAAAAAAAAAAAAAAAAAAAAAACAACCACCTTCATCTAACAATTGTCTTAACAAATTTGGCTAATTGCACATTTTTATTAAATTTTATAACACCTTTTTTCACAAATTTCAAGCACTATTTTCATAAATATTTTTATACACCGATATAAATCAATATTTGTTTAATATTATACAACAAACTTATTTTATTATTAACAATTAATTAATATTTTAGCTTAATTTCAACACTACCATTAACCCTAAACAATCGAACACTGTAGAAAAATTAAGAAAACTAATGAAATGGAACAATAACAAAAAGCATCCATCACATGTTGCAGTTGTTGTTTACTCTTGCAAATGGAGTACTATAATAAAAACAACAACAATGACAATTTCTATTACCATTTGTTGCTTTAGTTATTTGCCTTCTTCTTTAGTTGTTAAAATTTTCTAAAGTGTTCGGTTGTTTTGTGTTACTAGTCCAGTTTAAATTAAGCTAAAACGTTAATTAATTATTAATATATAAATATTTTTGTTGAAAATTGTTTATAAATACCGTTATGGAAAAATGTTTATAAAAAAGTGTTAAATTATTAGTTTAAATAAGTGTTTCAATAAAAAATTTGCCAAAAACTCAATGCAATTTTGTTAGGTCGAGCGCCGGTCGGTTTTCTTTTGTCGTTGCATTCGTTTTGTTAAGTGATGTGAAAGCATTAATCAAAGGGGATAGTGGGAATGAAAAAATATTAGTTTAAAAAAAATCTGAGAGGAAAAGGTGTATAATATAATGAAAAAAAGTTAAAGAAAAATAGTTGGTGGTAATATGTAAATATGTATGTACATGTACATATGTATGTGTTGCAAAAGGGAAATATTGTTTTTGTATGCAAGGAAATACTATAAATACCAACGGGAGAATATCGTTATTTGAACAACAAAAGAAAAAGGTGAGTGATTTGAAGTAACTAGTATGATTTGTTTTTGTTTCTTTATTAAATTTATTTGTTTTTTATATTAAATTTGACTATAGAAAGTCTATGGTCTTCGTTCAGTCTATAATCTAGACTAGTCTACTGTCTACTATATAGTCTAGTCTATAGCCTAGTCTATAGTCTAGTCTATAGTCTAGTCTATAGTCTAGTCTATAGTCTAGTCTATAGTCTAGTCCAGCGGTTCCCACCATTTTTTACTTCGCGGACCCCTTGAGGAATTTATTTAATTTCACGGACCCCCATACATATTTTGATATCTTATTGTTATAAATAACACTGTGATACAAAAGTGAAGAAAAATAAAATGCAGGCGTTCTCATATACCAATTCTATTTCGTTATAGTCCATAGAGTACGAATATATTTTTAGTTTTCCCCTATCACTTCGTTAACTTACTTTTTAAGAGCAAAAGATGCGAAAAAGAGCCATTTTTGAAGTTTTAAATTTGAAAAATCATAAGTTTAGTAGTTTTCATCCGATTTTCAAATCCGATATTTTTTTTAATGATACAAGTGTCTTTTAATCCAAAAAAAGAAATCCAAAATTTATGGTCAAATGTCTGGTTACGGTCGTTTAAGTAAAAAAACTCACACTTTTTTAAAAAATTTTCATTTTCATCATGCTCTACTTTGACCATGAGGCAGTGAGTTCATCTTTTATTACTTTCCTGAAGAATCACATAAAGGAAGGTTTCTAAAACTTGTTATTTCATAAAAATCTATGAAAAACTGGATGATTTATGCCAATTTTTCTAATAGAATGTTTCTCGAATTTTTGGTTTTCTCCATACAAATTAATTTTTGTATAAAAATGTTTATAAACATTTTTTAAACTTGTTACAAAGAAAACCAGAAACATGAACGTTTTTGTATGGAAGAAATATGCTATATTTTTATAAAACTTAGCACAACTCATAACCTTTTTCATCGATTATCATAAATTGACCATCATTGGAAACCCAACTTAATGTGCCTTTTTTCAAATGTAATAAAAGCTAAAGTTACTGCTTCAAGGCCAACGTAGAGCCGATCCTCCCTAAATGTTGTGGAGAAATTTTGGCACGCATTAAACTTATGTGCATCAATTTTAGTCACTACAGTCATATTTTTAAGCCAGTAATAAGCATTATAGTTATTTGCAGAGAGAGGGGTCCTTATATGCGGGAAGGGTCATTTTTTGGCCGATCCAAAAAAAAAATTGGTACAGAGGTTTTGGCTCGTAAGAAACTTAAGTGTGTAGCACTTCATCGCTTTACTCATATTTTTAAGACAGTAATGAGCGTTGAAGCTATTTCCTGAAGTGGACCCAATAGGGGGAGTAGGGCCAATTATGGACCTATCCACATAAAAGTTATTAAAAATATTTTGGCTCGCGAGGAACTTAATTGTGTAAAATGTTATTGCTATATTCGTAATTTTTAGCCAGTAATGAGCGTTAAAGTCATTTTCAGATGGAGGATAGGGTCATTTATGGGACGATCTTAAAACAAAATCGTAGAGCGATTTTGGTTCGTAAGAAACTTACTTATACCGAATTTCATCGCTATACTCACATTTTTGGACCAGTAATGAGTGTTAAAGTCATTTTCTGAAGGGGA